GAAGACTGAGTCAACCTTGAGCCAGTCAGGATTGAACTCATGGCAGTGGGCAGTGAGTTAGCCCTGCAGTACGGCATTCTGACCACTGAAGTAAACACTGGTTTTCTGCAAAAACATTGTAAATCCTGATCAGGGAACTGCAGAATGCTGCAGGGAGGTATAAATGTGGACTAGTTGGCGAGCACCCAAAATGGGGTCATATGGCCATAGAAGGGCGGCCATCAGAACTTTGGAGCTGAGTCATAAGTATCTTTGGGGGGGGGGGGGGGGGTTCCATCATAACTTGGAATAGTTGCTAAGCAACAGATAGTAAGACATGCATTTTATTATATAAAAATATAATAAAATACAAATAAAATAATAATAAAATGCAATCTCATAAAGGCTCCAGCCTACAACACAGACCATCTATCACGAACTACCAATTGCTTGCTGGAATCGGTTGGTTTTTCAGAAGGCTGGCAGTTGGGGGGCACCGCATAACTCGGGATACGCTGTTCCCTAGTGAAGGGCAACTTTAAAGAAAGATTGCCTCTGATTTCTAATTCCTCTGTATTACATGGGATGAAAACCCTCCACTTCCCCTTTTGGTAAGGATCGTATACATGATCCTGGGACTACATGGGGCCAAATCATGTAAGAACAAAACCAACAACCTTGTCTCTTGTCTTGCTGGGTTTCAATGTGAGTTTGCTTTCCTGCATCAGGTGTCCGTTCAGGACATTCATAACAACCCCAGCAGTATGATGTTCTGCCAAGGGTATATTACTTGACTGTCAAAATAGAGAATTCACTTCCAAACTTGTTGCAAATGCAATAAAAAGATTAGATCTTTATTTCACACTTGGCAATACTGCAAGAATTCTGGAAAATGATTTATAATAATATAAAACAGGTTTTAAAGGTAGGTTTTTCTTTTCTTCCTGTTATCCTTTACAGTGTTGAATATTGATTATGATGACTACATGCCATACGGTGATTGTTGACTTTTACAACCATTCCTACAATATATATCAAACTGACTTTTCCTGTAATAACTGGTTGGGTTCTCTATTCATCCTACTGGAAAACACCAATAATTCTTTCGGAAGAAAAATTGAAAATTCAGATATGAAAATATGTATCATACAATCATAGAATCAATATATTAAATTAAAAACAAACTTCATATTTAAAAAAAATCAATAAATTTTATACAGCATGTAACTTAATGCAATTATGTGCCATCAAGTTGTTTTCAACTCCTGGTGATCACATTGGTAGATTTTTTTCCATGACAACCTGATTCTATATTATATTTCTGGGTCTAGTCTGCTTTGTAGGTTTCCAGCCCCTTCCTATCACATCTATCACAAGAAGTGAGGACCATGAGTAGGCCCAAACCGTTAACACATCCTGAGTATGTAGAACTTGCAAACACATAGTGGGGCATTATATCCAGCACCTTGAATTGCACTCAGAAACAAACCAGCATCATCATAATGATATCTCATCCAAAACTGAGAGGCAATTGAGAGGCAATTTTATGTAGATGTTGAATAATATACCAACTCAGAAACTAGAACAGGTTATCCAAAGAGGGGAACCTTTGGACACAAGTGGTTGGTAGAATTACTCTATATTAGTCTATATAGTGAAACAAAATTAAAATCAGATGGAATCTGACAGTATCTTTTCTGATTAGCAAATTCTATTAAAAGGCTTGGATTCTATCCATCTGACGAAGTGACCTGCAGCTCATGAAAATAAGCCTTTTAATCAAATGCATTAGGCAGAAAAAGTGTTCCTGGACACCTTCCGGTTTTCGCTATCCTTTAGAAGAGACAGGAAGCATGATCCTATAGAAATTTATGTCTGGTTCTCAACCAGCTTACAAAATTAAGTACAAACTCTGGAACCATGAAGTACTTAAATCCTAGTTTAGAGAATCAAGCAATTACTATTCTTTCTAATTCTTTCAGGAATGAAATTAATATTCTTTGTGATTACAGATACAACCCAAGATAATGGCAAATAAAAGTCAGCT